GGTCCCTGGCGCGCCGGGCCGGGGCGGCTGCGCGCACGGCGCCGCTCCACCAACCCGCTCCCCGCAGGTCCCTCGCTCGCTCTCCATCCCTCGCCGGCGCTCGCTCGCTCCCCCCCGCCCTTTGATTGACAGGCAAGATGTCGGTGCGGAGCGAGGCAGGAGCGAATGCAGCAGCCGTCAGCCCCGGAGCCCGGCGGCGGCAGCAGCAGCGCGAGGAGGAGACAGCAGCCAGCCGCAGTCGCCGCCGCAGCCGCGGGAGCAATGCGGACAGCATCTTGAGGACGCGCTAAAGCACCCCAAACGGTGGACGATGCCGTGTCACTGCAACTGGGAGGGGGGCAAAGCAGATTTTTTTTGACATAAAAGCCAGCCAGCCAAAAATATATACATTTGTCCTTCACGGAGCCGGTGTGTAAAGAGTGAGCGCTGTTTGCCCTCGCCTCCTCCTCTCCCTCCTCCCCTCCTCCTCCTCCTCCTCTTCTCTTTTTCCTCCTCCTCCTCCTCCCCCTCCTCCTCCTCCTCCCTAAGTGTACAGACAGCATCACATCACCTGGTTTGCTTCTGAGAAACAGCATCCCTCCTTTTCAGGGACCAGAGACTCAGAGAGAGGAGACATTCTAATGGAGTCTGCTTGATACCCCGAAATAAAATAATAAATTTTGGCTCTTGTCGCCTCCTCCCACCCCACCCCCTCAACCCTGTGTGAGATGTTGGGTTTCTTCTTCATGAGACATTGTTGAGAAGTCGCAGTGGCTGGAGAGCGTAGGGGGTAGACTACCTCTACTCCCCCCCCCCTTTTTTCTCTCTGGGAGGAGGAGGAGGGGAAGGGGGCTTGCCGAGCAAGCGATGGATGAGGAAAACATGACGAAAAGCGAGGAGCAGCAACCTCTGAGTTTGCAAAAAGCCTTACAGCAGTGCGAGTTGGTCCAAAACATGATAGACCTGAGCATCTCCAACCTGGAAGGGCTTAGGACCAAATGTGCCACCTCCAACGACCTCACACAAAAAGAGATCCGGACCCTGGAGGTAGGTGTTGCCTGGGGTGGGGTGGGGGGGAAGCAATCTTTCCTTCCCTCTCCTTGTTCCCCACCACCCCCTTTCCTTTGATTCTGTTTGTTGGGGGGCGGGAGGGTGTGGGAGGGTAGCAAGGTGGGCACGATTTGGTTTTCTGTGATTTATCTTCTTTGCAAAACCTGCTCTGGTTGTCCCTTTACTGTACCGCTGTCGTCTACGCTTGGCTGGGTGGTGGTAGTAGTAGTAGTAATTGTGATTCCTTATGTATTATTATTCTTGCGGCTGTTATTATCATTCGCTTCCTCTCCGAGGAGTGAGTTCTCTCTTTTTTCCGCTTGTGGATTTGTTTATATGCCACGGGGGCTTGTGTGCTGGGTAAGGCATTAAGGCGCTGCAGAGAACCCACGTGACCTTGCGCATTCTGCAGGTGGTCAAAAGGTGGTTTTTGCTCGCAGAATGGAACTGCCTATAAATATAGACCTCTTCTGCCCTCGGCCTCCTTTCCAGCCCCGCTTTTGCCCCTTGGATTTTGTTTTTGTTTTTGTTTTAGTTCGGTGGTATACATGTCAGGAGGCAAGATGCAAAAAAAAAAATCCCCATTGAGCTCCCCGTTTCCAATCAAATCGTTTGATGCAGGGAGCTGTTGCAGGCCTGAAACGTGTAAAAAGATAACAGAAAATATGCCTGGATCAGCACACGCAAGTGCTGTGGGAAAATACTCTTGAATCTTGGTGGGAAGGCGAGGAGAGGGGTCCCGGGAGGAGTCATCTCTGGCGAGTTGTAACATTGTCTCCAACAGAACTTAAGGGGGAGTTTGAAGCAGTTTTGGGGGGTGGGTTGGATGCAAAGTTACTCAGAAAGAAGAGGGCAGAAATTATTTCTTCTGAAGGCCATTTGGTCAAAGGAGGAAGGTTTCAGGAGCCTCTGAAAATGTCTGGTGTGCACATAATCATTGGGCATCCACGTTGTTGGAAACATCTGAAGGGTTCCACTCACTTCTTCCTCAAAGCAGCTGTACACATGGCTTGATTAAATTTGGGAACTCCCATTAGCTGGCATTTGCTGAGGGTGGTGGCTGTGGGACTGGGAGCGAAGGAAAGGGGTTCTCCCTCTGGTGAAGTGGGCATGTGTGGTGCTGGGAAGTTCCCTCTGTTTCCAGCCCAGGAGTTTCCAAGGCCTGAACTCTTTGGTCCCTGCTGAATCTTTGAGCCCTGTGCCCTCGTTCCAGCCTGGATAAGCACCACTCTCTGATTCACTTTAAAGTCTTTTTTTTCTCTTCCATGATTTTAACTTTGGCTGCTTGTCAGCACACAAGGTCATCAGTTTGAAAGTGGAGTATGTTTGTGTGTGTGTGTGTGTGTAATATGCTGTTTGCTACCCTAGAGTACATGTGCTCCTGTCATGTGGGAAAATGATCCTCAGAAGTGAAATAAAATAAGTGTCAAGAGGTATCAGGAGTGGGAACTCTGTTGGGAGGCCAAGTATTTTCTTTCTCAGAGCTTTAGGGGCATAGTCTAGGCTAAGACTTGTTGCTGGAAGAGAAAGGGTGGGATGCCCTGGCCCAGCCTTCTGTCTCTGCATGAGCAGGGCCCAAAGTAAGATTCTGTTCAGGACTGCAGGCAGTGAATAAATAAGTAACCCAAAGGGCTACCTGAGTCCTCTTCTGGTCCTTTGAGTCAGGAGTCCCAAGTGCACGTTCGTGTATTCCTGTGTAAGTTCCTCTGGTTTTCTTTTCAAATCTTTTCAACATGGCCCATCCTCTGATAGCTCCTTGGATGATGGTGATGGTCACAGTGGACTCTGGACTCCGTGGCTTCATTCCTGCCCAGTGGTTTTCTTTGAAAACCGGGGGATGGAGTTGCAAGAGGTTGCAGTTACTCGTAGTGCATCTGGTGGTTAGTTTCCTGGTCCCAGGATGCCACAGAGCATGCCCAACAACCACTTTACGCATATTGCACAGGGCTGGGTCTCCAGCAGTCATGCCAGTCTATGCTTCTCGGGGCCCTGGGGCAAGGGTAGGCCACTGAGGAAGGGCTGGTAACTCCAGGTGCAGCCAAGTCCTGCTGAACCTTGCCTAAGCATTGGACCGAGGTTCTTTATCCCCCAAACTGTCACATTTTGTATATCAAAACCGCCCGAGGGAGCTTATTAAAAATGTGCATTCTCAGCCTCTAACCCCAGAGGTTCTAATTCAGGTGGGACTGGGCAGAGTGGGGGGAGAGGGGGAAGGCCCAGGGATCTGCATTTAAGAAACATTCAAGGTATTTCTGATGTATGTTTTCACATCGACACTCTGAAAAATACCCACCTATTAGGAGATAGGGGGCATATTTCTGCAATTTGATGGTGAGAATTCCCTGCTCACAAGCACTGAAGTAAGCAGTATATTGAACAGACCATCCCTGAAAACTGTGATAATAAGCAAAATTTAGTAGCATGCATATGACTCCATGGGAACAAAAATATACAGAATGGACTGAGCCTTCCAGAAGTGTCCTGCATGATTAGGGAGACAAGGCTAATAATATAGGTGTGAAATAATGATCAAGTCCAAACAGCAAATGATATGGGAGGGCAGCATGTGGGTCTTTGAAGAATATGTTCAAACTGCATGAAATGGAAAATTCAACCACAGTGTTCAAGTGAACAGTGGCTTCTTTTCCTCGTGTAGCAACAAGTCTGGAGAGAGATGGCTGCTTGAGTTGGTTCAGCTGAGATAGTAACATCGGGGCTGATGTCTCTTTGAGTTCTCAGTGGCCTCTTTCTAATGGTTGCAAGATGGCTCTTGAAGCTTTAGCCATCACACCCAGGTTCAAGGCAGGGATGAGGGGGACCAGGTGAGGAGTGTGCAGGGATAAAGAGTTCATGTCTTTGTTTCGCTTCCCCAGAATACCTCCTGCTACCTACAGTACAGATGATGTTTAAGTATGGCATCTTGGCCAAAACTTGGTCAGATGGCAATGCTGGGAGCTGGGGAAGTAGGAGCACCATTGTGAGTGGTTTAGGTGGGTCATGGTCCATTGCCTCGGTTGACTTGTCACTGCATACACATTCAGGGTTCTGCTGGCATGGAATAGAGCAGGAAGGAATATTGGGTGGACAGTCAGCAACATTGGTCATGGCATGTTATCAGGAGGTATTTGGCAGAGAAGAAAGACCATGAGCTTTGGAGTTAGACCAATACAGTTTTAAATTGTAGCTTTTCTACTTAACTTTATCTTGGGCTAGTGATTTAAATTTTCTGACCCATGGTTTAATTTTTGGCAAAATGGCAAGAAAAGAATAACATTACCTACTTCAGTGGTTATGAGGATTGAAAGGACATTTTCAAGGGTCTAGTGCTATCTCTAGCACAGCCCGTGGGGGCTGAATAAATGATAGTTATGATGATGATAAGGTTAGCATTACGTGGTGTGGCATAGATGACAGGGAAGGGAACAGCTTAGATCAGAGGGAGAGAGGGAAGAGTTTGAGCAGCATTTCCAAAGTATGTTCTGTGCAACCCTAGTTCTGTGGGCTATTAGCATTTTTCATTCTTCCAACAAGAAATCCAGGCACTGTACTGGATGCTGGTGGTCAACAAGTACTCTGAAGACAAGATGAATTCCTTGGTTGATACGTCTGAGAAAGGTTGCGTTAAACAAAGGGAAACAGAGACTTCTCAGAGCCTTTACTATACCAAATATGGGCATGGTGACTCCAAGAGAGGGTAGAGACCTTTTTCCAAGGATATTCCCTTGGGATTGATGTTCCATAGAATACACCCAGGGAAACATTTGGCAGAGCAGTTAGGGTAGCTTTCTTGGTTGGGGAGCTGGGGACCCTGGGTGGAGAGAAGGATGGGGAGGGCTTAGATCACAGCAGGTTGGGAGAGTCTACTTGGCAAGAACAGCCAACCAGCTAAAGGCATTTCATGCCAGTTCGTGCCTTTGTGGGGCCGCAGAGAGACCAGTTGGTCCAGAATGGAGAGTACCTGATAGAGTGTCATAGGAAATGAATTTAGGTCACAAACTCTTGAGATCTGACTAAGGACAAGGGAGTGAGACTGACAAAGTTTCACTCCTTTGAGGAAGGAGGTAGAAGTCTTCAAAGGTTTCGGAGTGAATATGATAAAAATTTGTTTAAAGGTTAGTCCCAACTTGATATAATTTTCACATGTCCTAGAAACATTCTTTTCTTTTCTTTTTTTTAAGATTTTATTTATTTATTTGACAGAGAGAGACACAGCAAGAGCGGGAACACAGGCAGGGGGAGTGGGAGAGGGAGAAGCAGGGTTTCTGCTGAGCAGGGAGCCTGATGCGGGGCTTGATCCCAGGACCCTGGGATCACGACCTGAGCCGAAGGCAGACACTTAACTACTGAGCCACCCAGGTGCCCCGAAACATTATTTTCTATTGTTTTTTTTTTTGACATTTAAAAATGTAAAAACTATTCTGAGGTTTTGGGCCTTACAAAAAACAGGTAGTGGGTCAGATTTGGCCCATGGTTGATAACTAGTTTGCTGATCTCTGATCCATAGGGTGGAGCTATGGTAACCCCCCCCCCAAAAAACCCAAAATAAAACCAAAATAGGATGGGAAAAAGGGAGGATCATGGCATGATCAGCAAAGGCCCCCTAAAGGAGGTTTTACTGACTTGAGGAAGCAAGCCGAGACCTATCTGGGGATTGCACCAGGAAGAGGGAACAGCAGATGCAAATTTCTTGGGTGAGAATGTGCTTGGCATGTTATTAGAACAGCAAGGAGACCACTGTGGTTGGAGTGGAGTGAGTGGGTGGGGAAGGGGTGAGGGGCACCATGGGAGACAGAGGCAGGTACCTGGTCATAGAGGGCTTTGATAAGGTACTTGGATTTTATTCTAAGTGTGAACAGGGAGGTGACTGATTTATGTTTTTAAAAGATCCTTCTGATTGCTGCAGAGAAAATAGACTGTAGGGGGTAAGAATGGGAGCAGGGAGACAATTTGGGAGGTTAGTGTGGAAACCAAAGCCAGGAGTGACTGTGCTCTGGACT